CTAATGCAGCTTTCAGGTTCACACGACTACGAACACTCGAAAAAAGTTTCCAATGTAATAATGTTCATTTGCGTACAAACGACGAACAGCAAAAAAAAAATTATTCACAGAACTGGAAGCCGAAAGGAAAACGCGATCAAAAATTGTTATTTCGATCACAACATCGATCTATAGACTTTACTTCGCGAACTTGTGAAATTTGAAATGTGAAATTTGAAATTTGAAATTTGAAATTTGAAATTTGAAATTTGAAAATTGAAATCTCTAGCTTCAGAAATATCGCCTTGGCACCTCAAGCACCTCATTCTTGCTGTTACGTTTCCATTCATTGTGTACCGTATCTGTCGCGCGCAGGAATTATGAATATTATTTTTATTGCTTTTATCAGCTTCGTTGTTCATGACGAATATATTTGAATGCAAAGGTCAAGGTCAGGCGCAATTGCAGACGCCGATCGGACCAGGAAGCCCCCAACCAGGGAACGCTATGGGGGACGACTGCGTTGCTTGCTTCTGCGCGGGCAGCAGCGGCTGCTTCACCAGCGCCGGATGCACCTGGAGTGGCGGCAGCCAGTACTGTGGCCCCTTCCACATCTCCAGACCCTACTGGATCGACGCGGGGAGCCCGGTGAGGGAGGGCGGGAATCCGCAGAGTCCCAACCGTGAGTCTCGCGCGGCTTTCATCCCGCTATCCCTGCCGTCTGTCGGTTGATGGTGCATGACCGGTTGTCTTTACTGACTGTTTGTCCTTGCGTCGCAGCGTTCGAGGAGTGCACAACGGATTACTCATGCGCCACTAGGACCATAAGGAGTTACATGGAGAGATTCAAGCAGGTCAGCAAAAATTCCAGATTACTCATTGATTCTCTCTCCCTCTCCCTTAGAGATCGTACTAAATGCAGCGGATAATAGAGAAGACCGACCACTTTTAGCCTATATATCTCAGCTGTCACTATTTTTTGCAAACTTGCACACATATACAGTAGATATGTTCCCAAAAGAAGCTAGAAATTTAATCCAAAATCTTCCTATCCGCATCATGCAGTTTTCTACAAGTTACATCACGAAGTCCATCAACGAATAAACATTTTCCCCTATCACTAGCTTCCCATTCCAATTGAAGAGGGCGCAAGGAACACGAACGAATGGATAACAATCCCGTGAAAAGTGGAACTTCATAGCCACAACCAATTAAAGTGATCAGAGGGGTTAGCACCGCGTATGCTCACAATCTGGGTCTGAAATCAAATGGGAATCCTTTAGACGTGACCCAGCTTGACACGACCCAGCTTGACGTGACCCAGCTTGACGTGACCCAGCTTGACGTGACCCAGCTTCAATTGATAAAATCCAAGACATCCGAATCGCCGATAAATTGGAATAGCTAAACACGGTTTGGCCATGTCAGCGATACAGTAGATCCTCCTTCCTCGATGTAAAAAGTTGAATTCCGATTACCGACAGGACTGCAACGGTGACGGGGTGATCGACTGCTTGGACTTCGCCCTCATTCACAACCAGGGAGGCTACGGCTGCCGAGTCCCGAACCCGGACTCCATTCCGCTGTACGGTACGGTCCGGGAGTGCATGTATCCTCCGATCGACGCGCGGATGCAGCCCAGAAGGACTGTCATCAAGAAGCCGTGATGCTTTGTTACTTACCGTTACCGTTACCGTTACTTCTGTCTCTCGTCGCTCTGACTCGATTTTGCGATGAGTTGATGCAAAAATAGGGTTGCAGTGGGGACTGTTGGATTGTGTTTTTTTTTTTCACTATTTTTTTCACGAGTGATCCAGGCAATAATCCGCGGGAGGGAAAGATAATGATGGCAAAGGCCGTTCAGACGGGAATTTTGAGAGTGGAGCGAGAAAAAAAAAAAAAAAAAAAACGAAGCGCGTTTTATCGCTCAACCGAACCGGTTTCTCGCAGCTTGCGTGTTTCGCGGCGCTTTTCCTCTTTTCTTCTATCATCATTTGCCAAGCAATTAAATGCTTCTTCGCTCGCTCAAAATAATTTTCCAAATTAAAATTTTTAAAATTGAAAACTTCGCTGCGCTTTCTCCCGCGTCGTAAACGCAGCGGAATTTCTGAGAACCACGCTTTTTTTTTCCGCGCCTCACCCTGAATATTCGTTCCCATAACCTCAGTCGGTGTTTCGCCATCAATTAGTTTCCCGTCAGGTAAAGCCAAAAATTTTCGCCTCCCTCACCCGTTCGAAAATTCCCCCAAAGAAGACATAATCCCCTCTA